TACATCACGCCAGTTCAGCGGGCTGGAGCAGGTGCCTTCCGGCTTGGGACTGGGGGGGAGAGCAGGAGATGGCTGTTGTCCTTGTTCAGAGGGGCTCCCCTGCAACTTTCCTGATGATCAGGCTTTTTAGCATGGCAGTAGCAGAGAACCGAGAGTCCGAATGTTGCTCCCGGAATGGGGTCTCCCTGCATGACCTACCCTCTTCCCAACAGGCCAGGGACAGCCCTGTAGGTTTCTGCTGCAGCAAACCAGGCAGTCCCTCCTGGTGGGCACAGCACTGATGAGAGAGCATCAGTGCGGTCATTCCTCAGTGCTGCGTATTCAAGCCCAAAGCATAGCATGGGATAAGTGGTGCTCACCCCTTGTTATCACCAGGTCAAACAGTCTCTCGGCCATGAGGAAGAGGCACGAAAAGCAGAGCAGCACTGACAGTCAGTATAAACACAGCGTCTGCTTGTAAACAAGCAGAAAATGCTGCCTGGGTCAACATGCCTACATTGTATGCTCACTCAACAGTCTGCTCTGGGACCCCTATGAGCAGAGTTTGCTGTCTCAGAACGGAGCAATCTCTGGGCCAATCCAGTTTTTTTCCCTGTAGTATTCTTAATCTAGTATTTTTTGAGCTTAATTTTAAGACCCCTCCCAAGCATCCACAAACCTGTGGCATTTGAAGAGGCTACTAGGGGCCACGCAGTGGCTCTCAGCCCTACGGCTGGGATCCTCTCTGCTCAACACTGGCCCCTGCCCTAAGCCAGGTGTTACCAGCACGCTGCCAAAATCAGCACGCTGCCGGCTAACAGAGATAACTGGCCATGTGGTTCCCGTGCCTGACGTGGGCGAGCTGTGTCCAGCCACCTCAGAGTCACTGCTGCCAGCAGGGTGACAGCAGGTCAGGGGACATTCCCTGTGTGCTCTGAATACCAGGCGCTACCAAGAGAAACACAAGTCCTGGTCTGCCTCGGGATCAACAAGAGTTTAGAAAAAGATTAAGCAAAGCCAGATGTTTGGGGGTGGACAGAACTGCACAGATAGGAGAACTCACCAAAGATGTGTGTTTCTAAGGAGGGATCTGCTATGGCTTTTATGCTTACCAGGCAGTTTCAGCTGCCTCAGGTTTGCTATGCTCCAAGAGCTCCTAGCAGGGCCCTTACCTTGTTCCAGATGAGGACAGGGGTTGGGATGCCCATGACTTCACAGCTCAGGTAGATCTGTGCTCCTGTCACATTCCAGATGTCCTTAGGAGGGGTCACGATGGAGGGTCCTGCAAAAAGGGAGAAATGCTTTTAAGCACCAGATGACTGCAGGCCTGTCTTCTTGCTAGCCTTTTAAGTAGGGCCAGTCATTTCTAAAGGGTTTTGAGGATAAGGTGAAGGGGACCCCCTGCTCGGAGCAAAGCTTGCTGGACTGATCCCACATCACAGCACTTCCCTCCCCAAAGCTACACATGCATCCGACCTTAAGCTGTTCAGGCTGATGAGCACTTGCCCCAGAAGGAAACTCAAGTGTTGAGTGGTTCAGGTGATCGGCCCATCTACTTGCAAGACTGAGGTTAGAGGTAAGATAGTGTTTGTATTCTGTTATCTCAGGGGCTGAGCAGGACTTTACAAACTGCTGCTTTTGCTCACCATGTAGCCATGAAGTGCGTCGTTGGCACTCAACTGGCATGGAGGAGAGGGCCCCCCAGGAGACAGGGTGGGTCCCACTCACTCTCCCATGCCATGGAGAGCTTGGCCAGCTTTGCAGCAACCTTTTTGCCAGCGTGATCTTAACCTGCAGCAAAGCCCATGGTGACTGGCTAGCAGAATTCAGTGTTATGCTGCTCCTGTTTTACCCGTGTGCAACATTCAGCCAAAGGAGGCTGGCTGGAGGGTGCAGGAGCTCTCCTTGGGGGGGACCTGGGAAGGGACTGGGTGAATGCAGAGCTCCATTCTCCCTAAAGAGCTCCAATCCCTGGTTAAACAGGGAGTTGGTTCCAAAGCCAGATGGGAACAGAGCTGTTTTGCAGATCTGGCTGGAGATGTTTACCCCTCGGGCTGGGAAATGTTGGAGACGTAACCCATATCCCAGGAAGGGAAGAATGGCCTTTTCTGTTCAATCCCTCTTTAGTGGGGCTGTTTTGCAAAATGCAGCTATTAATTCCCCACAATAGGAAGTGCAGCCCAAAGGAGCACATAGTGTTTATTTCCACTTATTGATAGCTTGAAGAACACAGCAGATTTTCCCCTTCTGCTCTGAAGATGCAGGCAGTAACAGGAAACTGAAGCTCCCATTAGGCTGCACCAGGAGAAGGCATTTTCTATGCGAACAAGTACACCAGAGCCAGCCTGATGGAAGCCCCTGGGTATGCTGGCTCACAGACCATGGCTCATTCCCAGCCCCATAAAAGAGGGGCAGATTTGGGTCCTGATGCTCCTTCTGGGGTCCTGAACGTGCACTGACCTCAGCCCTGCACATGCACTCTGCCCTGCAGCCCTCTTGCAGGCAGTGGGGAGCAGGTTTCAGGTGCATCCCAATGCACAAACATCTTCCAGCAAAAAGCTGGAGCCTTTTTTCCTCCTCAGGATCTGGGGACAGATCCACACTGGTATTACCAGCCAGAGGACATCAGCCATCCCTCTGTCTTAGCACAAGGGATGCCGAGGTGGCTCCCCACTCCTGAGCAGGTAGTGTGATCCCAGAGAAGTGCTTGCTCTTCTCTTCCGAGACTTCCCTGTCCAGGAATGACTGTACATGGCCTGCTAGTGAGAAGCTGCTCAGAGACCAGGGGTGGCTGCAATCCAAATTCTCCGTTCCAGAGGATCCCAGTCCCGGTTTTAACAGGAGGTAGCTGCATAGAAGCAGGAAAGTTTTATGTATAGCCCGAGGCGACGGTTAAAACCACACCTAATGACCAGTACGGGCTGGTTTCCTAGCAGACATCACAACCCAGGCACTCCTCATCTGCACAGAACTGAATCTCTCAGCTGAGAAAAGGATTTAAGCAGCATTTCATCACATTGCTTACCCTGTTGTTGGTTGTGCTGCTGCATTACTTGATTCCTGTGCACAGGCCAGGAGAGGGGTGTGTTGGAGTCACAGCACCCCTTCCCGTATGGAAGGGTGCTAGAGTTATCCTTGCTCCAGGTGGCCCAGAGCAGATCTGTACCTCCAGACCGTGCCCAGCTCTGCACTTTTAGTAACACCCCACTGGAGGTTGTTCCCCTGGGTACAACTGTAGCATAGTACAGTGGGGTGATCCGTGGGGCTAGCACCCCCAGGGCGCTCCTGCCCAAAGCACCGCCTGGCCCCTGCGCAGCAGCAGGGCTGTGGCCAGCCAAGGGTATTGCCATCCCCACGACGGGACCACCTCAGGTCACACGCTCTGCTCCCCTTCCCCAGCACGCCTGTTTCCTGTGCAGCCCTGCTGTTCTTTTTCTGGTGTCTCTTGAACAATAGGGACAATAGGGCGCTTGGCAGCTCCGGTGGGACCCGGATGTCCCCAGGCGGCTTAGCTCACCCCATGCTCTGCAAGGACCTCCAGCAGATGTGCACGCAGTATAGCCTGCTGCTGCTGCTGCCGCCGCCGCTGCCGCCGCCTTCTCCCCCAGCCATAAAAAATCCTCCACAAGCAAGGTGCCCTTCCTAGGGCAGAGCTTGGGGCCTGTCCCTGACAGACAGGGCTACGTTTGTCCCTGTATGACACTGACCTCTTTATCACCGGTTGCTGGGGTTCTCCATGAGGCAGGAGAAACACAGCTGCCCCAAATGACCACCATATCCCACCATAGAAAAGGAGAGATCCTGATTCTTACGTTAAAAGCCAGGTGGATTTTAAGGCATCATTATGCTCTTCCAGGATCTGGCTCAATTCTTCCCTGGTTGGGAACTGGCAGCTTTCAGCACACCACTAAATCCACTGCCTGAGGTGTCTCGGTCTTGGCTGCCACTGAGTTTCCCCCTCTGTCAAGGGCCCGGACACCCTCTGCCCGTGGATGTTTGCTCACCCTGCCAGGAGCAGGTCACACCAGGATTTTTCTGCAGCAACTGCTGGCGGAGGAAGAGAGAGGGAATTTCTACCCACCTCCTGGGCGAGGAGAAACTGTTTATCTTCCCTGGAAAGGGGAATTGCCTGCACGGCTTCACAGTGAAGCTCCAGCTGGCTTGGCGCAGTAGCCACAGCACAGCGAGAGCCTGGCCGTTACGAGGCAGCCTCGAGCTCAAGCTCAGGATGTACATCCTGATCTACCCAGGAGGAATGCGAGACTCTGCCTTTGGCTGCAAAATGAACTGGGAGCATAAACAGGCCTCCGCCTCTATCTGGCACAGCTCTGAGGCCGGGAGGGAATACACATCCCGAGATATGCAACAGTGTCATGGGAAGAGTCAGTGTGGTCTCTCGGGATATTTGACTTAAATCCAGACAGTCAAAACTCTAGAGCTGGGCTTCTTCCTCCACTAAAAATAAATGAGAAAGGCCAAGAAGTCAGCAGATTTAAAGGCAAGTCATGACAGCCCACAGCAGCAGCTAGACTCCCACCACAGCCAGCTGACACCCAGGTGCACGGCAGCCACCCGGTTTACTGCCTGTTTTGGTCCCACTCACGCTCTCTCCCACAGTCCCCCGAAGCGGCCAGAGATGGACAGGGGACACGGCAACCTGCCACGACAGGAGAGGCAGGGGATGCCTGAGCCTTGCAGAGATTTCAGCGGATGTGAGGACATTCCCTCCTGCAAGTCACCCCTCTTGCTTCGGGGGTCCTTGTGAAGGGAGCAAGGCCACCATGCACTCAGCAGGACTGGAAACAAGCCCACCTTGTACAGAGCAGATGACTTGGGCCAGCAAGGAGCCCCCTTGGCCCTCATCCTACAGCCTGCATGTTAGAGGCCTTGCTGCTCTACTTGCAGCACTGCCCACAAAGGGGAACGTTTCTCCGTCCGCTTCCTTCGGGCTGGGGACTTGTGGGTTGCACCTGCTGATGAAAATGGTCACCACCATCAATGTGGCTGAGTGGTCTCTGCTCCCCGCGCCAGGGACTGAGCCAGGGGCACTGTGGATGTACAGGATGCTCCCTGCCTGTACTTGCCCTGACTGTGCAGGAGCTCCTTGGCCAAGAGGACAGCGCAGGCTGTTGATGATCAGCTGCTCTCCGCCGGCACTTCAGGCATTTCCTCCCTGCTCTGCCCATTGTTCGTAAGATAAATAGCTCTCCCTGGTCCGGGAAGGGGCTTATTTACAGAGCCAGCAAGCTCGCTCACCCCAGGGAGAGGAGCCTGAAAGCACAGGGATTGTTTTTTCTGCAGATCACAGGGAGCTGACAGCCTGCATTATGTCAAAAGCAGCAGCCGGAGAGGAGTTCCCATTGCTGTTATGTAGTTGCTTTTCTGCCACAGCAGCATGCAGCAGAGCCTGTGACTTCCTAGCTGAGGCTATCATTTGGCATCAATTCCCAACACTCCCACTGCCCCGGGCACCTCTTCTCTGCTGAGCCACAGCAGGCAGAAATCTGGCATCTCCCAGCCCACCCACCTGCCCCTCGCTGGTACCAGGATGGTCTACCACAGCTCAGGGTTAGCTGGTCCTCGCTGATCTTCCTTTGGTGTCCACACAGACACACAAAAATAAATCACACCCCAGCAAGCACAGCAGTAACTTTTTTGCTAAAATCAAGGGGGCTACAGGTATGTCACTAAAGGCAGAAATAAGCTTGACATAAAGCACTGTGGGGTATGCCCTGGCGCTTGGGTGTGCGTGAGAAGGTCCCGACCACGAACACACGAAGCTGTGTATCGCACACTGAAGCTCGCGTTGGCACCAGCCTGGTTCCCAGCCAGCCCTCCTCAGCACTGCATCGCCGTGCCACAGCCCCGGGTGAAACACAGACTGGGAACACTCCCCGTGAGACAGCAAATCAAAGCAAAAGCTAGACATGGTTTACCCTCACAGGCTCTTGCAAGTCTGAAAATAGACCCACTCCAGTCTCCTAAGTTGCTGGGAAAGTATTTTCCTTTCAAAATTACTTTATATGGAGAAGGGGAAACCAATGAGTAAGCAGCATCTACTCATTCTAGCCGGCATGGCCTCAGCTGCTCCCTCCCAGGTCAGTGCTCTGTGAAAGGCAGCAGCAGACGGGAAGTGCAAGCAGCTTCTGTCCTTCCCCATTCCCAAAGCTGCCTGCAGCTTTCTGGCAGATTTACAGGCATCCTTCTTTACCTCTTTCTGAAGGCATTTTTCCCCCTCCTTTAACCTGGCCTTGAAGAGGCTAAGGAGTTACAGAAGGAAGCTCTGAGACATCCAAACCAAAGGAGACGCTGGATGCTAAGCCTGTTCAGATGCTCCCACTCAAGAGTTCAGCAGCCCGGTGACCCTGGAAAGGCTGCAAACGAGAACGCAGCTTTGTCCCAAGCCCTGGAGACCTGAGACTGAGTCAGCATGAGGCAGGGCCCCGGGGCCACCATCTATCTGCCCTGGATCTCCTCCTGCTTCCCACCCCACCAGGCTCAGCATGGAGCAGACCGGTACGGCTGGCAGTCCCACCCCTGCTGTTTTACCACGGTTCAGGAACGCTGCCTTCAGAGACCTTGTGCATAACCTTTATATGGCTACTTATCGGTCCTCCGTGGGGTTTACGTATAGGTGGGAGGGAGAACAGGGCGGCACTGCAAAGATCAAAACCCCAAGCCCTTTCTCCCTTACCTAGCACGCAGGATGGGTCTGCGCTGGCCCCAGCGTTGCGCCCAGAGAAAAGGCTGCGCCTCTGCATGCCTCATGCCTAGCTCAGCACTCTGCCGCATCCAGCAGCGTCCTCAACGCAATCTGAATCTCAAAGCTGGGGTAATGGGGAGGCCGATGTGGCTGAGGCTGCTCTGAAGCTCAGCTGCAAGCTTATAACCACACTTGCCCCTGGAAACAGCCAAATGGGGAAAAGGCAAGCCCTCCGAGTGGAGATGACACTGCTCTTGCTAGCAGACTGCCACAAGCCAACCTCTCTCCTGCCTTTTTCCCCCATCCTGCCCTTTTTTCCCACCTCCCCTTCCTTTTGCCAGTCTCTGAAGTATGCTGTCCCTGGGGTCAAACAGGCAGTAGCTTTCGGCAAACACGCTTGCTGCTTCCCAGCCATATCTGGATGCATATTTGGTTTTTTTTTTGTCCTGGACCTCCCAGACAAGCTCTATCAAAAAACTTCTCTCCTCCGGGCCATCACCTCCCCTCTTCTCTTTGTGTGACCTTGACTCAGTTTTACTAAGAAAACTGTCATTATGGCACAAGGAGGATCATGGGCTAAAGCCTGGAAAGAATGTGAAAAGCTTGCAGTGGGAGAGACAGAAACAAGGCATGGCAGCATTTATGCATGGAAAAGCAACTAGGGCTTTCAAAAGTCCACCCTGATTAGACTTGCTACATGGTAATCTCCTATTTAGTGTGAACCTCAATCAACCTCAGCCCAACAAAGGATTAAACGCATTTTTTTAAATACAGCATGCCTTTCCAGCAACAGAAAAAACAAACATGGGGAGAAATTTGCTGATCTGTAATCATTCCTTCCTAGTGATTTTGGATATGCTATGATGGCTGAGAATGAAGACACATGTGAAATATGGGATCCTCTTGGGCAGTGGAGGTGTTTGCATAGTCCCCGGCACACTGGTGCTCTCCAAGACTCTGTTACGCTGCCGAGTAATATATTAAACAGCTTCCCTAGCAAGATTTTAGCACAGTAACCATAAAAACTCAAGCTCCAATGAACTGAAACCTTTTCAAATAACTAAATACCTTTTAAGGAGGAATTTATGGCCTATCCTACAACAGTGGAAAAACCCAAAGTTACAGATCAATTTTAAAAATACAAGCATAAAGCTTCAGCCCTAGAAATTCTGTCTCAAAATCCCGATGCACGGTGTGCTGGAAAAGGAAGCACCACACTGAATCACATCACATCCCCACACCACGCTCCATCTGAAAGGACCCCGTGGTACAAAACAAAAGGTGTAATGCCACCACGCACCTGCACAACTCTGCTCTGCCACGGACTCTCTGGACGCAGCAAAAAAATGCCGGCAAGATCCACCTGCAAATGCAACGCTTTCCTTTGTGGTGGGAGAAAGCAGGTAGCAGGCCACTGCTGCAAGACCTCCACTCCAGCTGATGCAGAAACCCAAACCAGCTTCCCAGGAGAATTAGGGAATTTGGTTCATTTCCAACCACAGATGACTTAGCAAAAACTTGTCTAAATCTCTCTTTCCCCAGCAAAGAAGAAAGCACTCATAAAATGTGGATATTCTTTTAAGTCCCTTAAAATCCAGGAAAGGAAGAACAGGAGGAAAGAACTAAAGCAGCCTAAGCCACTTGTTAACTAAAAAGCACAAATCCAGAAGAGTTTCTTGCAAAATGTGATCGGATATGAACTCTGCTTTCCGGTGTCTAAAAGAGTTGAGTTCTCTAAAAGAGAAGATGAGCCAACGTCAGTGATAACAGCAGTCTGCCGTGTCCCAGGTGGTTTTCCCCCAAACCCCTGTTTCTGCTCTACTCTGGCAGTGGAATAAAAAAACCCAAAAAACCCCACCCTCAAAACTAAAATATTTCTGGCAAAGCCTCAACAGCTGAATTTGGCTGGAATGAGCCAACAGATGGGATTTATGTTTCTTGTTTTAAAATTGACCTGTGGTAACTCGGCACCTCTTCCTTTGCAGCGCAGATGTAGCTTTATGGGACACTGAGGCACCGGCAAAGCAAAACCACTGCTGGGGTAAAGTGGCAGGAATCTGGGGGGGTCTACTTGCCCCTGGGGCTGTCAGTCTCCACGAGAGCCTGGCAGCCACAATCCTACATCCACCAGCCCATTTTTTAAGCCCTGTGGACAGCCAAGAAACCTTGCACCCACTTTTTCCTGAGTCCCAGAGCTGGCGGGTGGCACCTTAGCAAAAAACCCCTTCTAGGAGGGATGCTGTCTGGGCTTCTGACAAGCCAAGATGACACCCCTCTGGGGGGACAGCTCAGCTCCGGTGACTGGGATCTCTTTGCTGGTGAAAGAGAGATTTAGGCAAGTTTAGTGCTGGTTACAGTCAGCTTTAAAAGAATCTCTCTCCTGGTCCTGCCGTTCATAAGCTCTGCAGCCTGTGGGATGGATCCTGCAAGGTGCTGAGCCCTCATCACCATAGGGCAAACCCCTGCATGTTCCCAACGCTGGGAAAAGACTTTCATGGAGCCACAGAGATTCAAGCCACGTTCAGATCAATAGAAATAAAGCAGGCTGCTTGGTGAGCCAGCAAATCTACCCTTCACCCAGAGAGGCCCTGAGTTTCTACCTCCAGGAGGTCTTTGTAGGCAGGTACAAAGCAGCACCAGTTCCCTGGAGAGTGAAACGCTGTCCTTTGATGTCCATTGAGAGACGCTTTGTGGTACACTGCATTTGGGCAAGAACAGGCGCTTGGCTTCCACCAAGAGCGAAGTGAGCATAAAATACAGACAAAGCCTTGACTGAAAACAGCAAAACAACCTGGAGACCCCAACCCTGCTGGAACAAGTATCAGGGATTTCAAACCATACAGCCTTTGGGCTGTAATGAGGCAACTTCAGCAGTATTTCCAGCAGTCACAACATGTCCCTCGAAGCAGGTATTTGCTGGTAGGTAACGATAAGAGAGACTCGGGGGTATTTGTCCCTTCTTGTGCTGGTTAGGCAACAAGTCCATGCCTGGTATTTTTCAGCTCAGAGAGATTGTCATGCCAAAAATCCTGCTAGCTTTTTGATGGGGGTTGGTGCTTTGAGGTCGTTTTTCTGCCTGGCTTGAGCTGAGCCACGCAGCCCTAATTCTTTATGCCAGCTGGCTTTGCATGGAGTGGGTACTATGGTCCTCCTGCCCCAGGTCCTAGCTGGCTGTAAACAGCCTCAGTGTGTGCACTGCAAAATTAATTTCAGCCTAAATTACTGAAGCCACCAACTCCGTAAGAGGCTTTTCTGAACATCTGTGCACAGCCGGGTGACGGCAGCGGCAGAGGGCAGCTCCCCGGCTGTTACGGCAGCCTCCCCTCCTGCCAAGGGGACCACTGGAGGTGGCACCCCTGACCGCCTGTACCTGCTCCGCCAGCAAGCTTCTGCCTTGTGTCCGGGCCTGCCCTGCCTGCAAGAGCTGGCAGCAGACCTGAGCATAGCTATGCATATTCATAGGCAGAGAGCAAAGGGCCAACGCATTTAAAGGCAATGCCGGAAAGCAGCTGGAAAACTTCAGAGCATCCATCTCCTGCATGGCCTCGGCACTGGGATTAGCTACAAAGAGGCTGCTGGGGCGCGAGGGTAGAGATGGGATGTGGGTAGTGGCTCCCTGGCAGGGAGTGGGGCAAACCCCGAGCCAGCTGTGAGTGCAAGCATGAGGGCACAGCACAAGCCCAGCCGGGAGGGAGCACCATGGCATCGCTGACTGCTCCCCCTGAGCAAACGCAGGCAGCTTTGCCGTGCCCTGCTGACACAGCACTGACAGCAGCCAGGCAGCCTCAAGGAGCTGGGAATCAAGTAGGGTGCCTTTTTCCAGCCGTTCCCAACGGTCCTGCCCACATGCAACCCACTCCAGGAAGGACTGGCTGGATCCTTGCACCTGCCAAGTGCAGGAATGGCATGGGTTATTTCCATCCTCTCAAACTCTTCTCAACTGTGTCTTCTTTTACCCTCCAGCAGGAAGTTTTGGCTGCAATGGAAATACCTTTTTCTGCATGGCTTCACTATTTTTGTACAAAGAACACAGACATCAAATCCGAGAGGTCTGGGAAACAAGCAGCAGAAAGAGAATCCTGAGGACAAGGTCAAGGCGAATTATGCAGGGCTGGGAACTGGCTCCTTCCTTTTGCTATTTAACAATAAAGAAACATCCAAGTTGTTCCCAGTCAGTAAGCAGTATCTCTTAGCAAGGAAAAACTGCTGAGCATTGCACAGAAAGCCCTGCGATAGGCACCACGATAAATATGGAAAGCTCAGCTGGACAGGCATTTGGTCAGCTTTGTCAAATATAATTTTAATGAACTTTTATCCCCTTGGAAATATATCTACGGTGGAAAAAGGTGTGTGTTGCAAGGAGTATTTTGTGTGTTAGGCCTTATGTAGCCGAGTGCTTTGTTTCCAGGCTGCTTTACTCATGCCCACATGGTGCTGCCTACAACAAATCAGTAGGACTGCCCCTCCCAGCAGGTATACCTCCTTCAGACCCTTTGAATACCTGGTACATATGGGACAGAGAGGGAGACAAGGCGAGAGAGAGGGTATGAAATACAACCCCAGTTAACCAAGGAATAGGAGCCGCCCAAGTCTTTTAATTGCTTGTGGCCGATCCCTGTGTCTCAAGCGTGTATTTTAAGGCAGAAGAAGAGGCGGTAGCTGCAGTAAGACTCATTCCCAGCTTGCCTGGGAGGTGAGGTTTGAGCAAACAGTGGCAGGAGTCAAGAAAGGGATAAACCGGCAGCGTTTGTCCTATTTGCATCTGTCCGTGTCCTGTCTCACTGCCCTGCCACCCCCAGCATGTCACAGTGCTAGGGTGGGTGAGGAGGAGCATCTACCAATAAACTGTTCCCAGACACATTCCCTTCTTCCACTGGAAGCCCCATCTCCAGTTGCCACCCTTCCTGCCGATGACAGCAAAGGCCAACAGCAGTGGCAGCTCTGCACTTCCTCCTCCCGAGGACCAGCTTTCAAATAGGATGTGCAAAACAAGCCTTCCCTCTCCAGCTCCACTTGGGAAAAATAAAAGAGCAATCAAACACAGTCAGGACCTGCTGCTGGAAACACGGTTTTCTGGATCTCTTCTCAGACTTTCTGGATCTTCTCAGATGCGATCCTGATAGTGCAGCGAGCACATGCGGACACCTCAGAGCCCATCTGCCACGAGCAGGAAGCTTAAGTCCCCTGTCCCCCACGGACTCTTTCTGTGCAAAAGCCGTCACACAAATGACTGATGCAGGCAGGATCCTGCCTGTTTGTGGTCTCCCTGTGCAGGATCCCACCCTAGACAGCGCCTTAAGGAGATCACGTCCGTTTGTGGTGGGAAATGGCAAAAGCCAGAACTTCCACTCTTTCACGCCCACAGCATTTAGGTTCTTTTAGAAACCCAGAAAAGTACTGTCTCCTATCTGGAAAGATCCTGAAAGAGGTTCCACCCTGCAGGGCTGATGGGATGGATGTCCTCTCCTGCCACTGTTTCAAAATCAGTGTGGAGATTACAACTCCTCTCCCCACCCAACAGTCCTAACTGCCAGGAGGCCCTGAGGGCTACAGAAATACTTCCAGATGTCTACCACATGCGTGGGCTGAGTCCCTGCCTCAGCTGCAAGCTACAGAGCAATGCATAGCACCAGAAGACGGTCCACAGCACGATGAAGGTTCACGCAGCTGAGGGAAGTCTCAGAGGAGTCAGTTGCGATACCACTGCTGAGCAGCCCACGTCCCTCCTGCTCCCTTCCCAGATGCTGGGTCAGAGCTCTCCCAGCAGCAGGATCCAAAAGAAAGCGGCTCCCCAGAGTGACAGAGGAGGGGATGTTTTGCCAGTGGTTTGGCACCACATGCTCCAGCGAAGTTCTTAAACAATAGGTAACAGCCTGCAAAGGTGTCTCACTGCACACCTGCACACTCGAAGGGACCTTTTCTGAGGAAGGGATGCAGTTTGTGCATGGAGTGGCTGTCCCACACTGTGGCCCTCTTCAGAGAAGCTGCACTGTGATGACCAGAGGACAGAGAAAGTCTCACGGGAGCTGTTTGAGGCTGGTGGGTCGGTGTCCTCCCACCATCCTGCCACGTGGCTCGTGTTTGCATTGACCTCATCAAACTCTGTCTCCATAGTCTGGCTCAAAGCCCCACCAGGCCAAGCCAGAATCCAGTCTGGCGTGGACACAAGGGTGCAACCAAGGGTTGGGGCAGTAGCTTATAATCTGAGTGTCAATACCTGTTTTGCCACGAACTCCTGGGTAACTTTGGGCAAGACAAGTGAGAACGCAGCCCTCTTCTCATGTACACACCTGAAGCGTGACCTCAGACATCTTTCAAACACATCTGCTTACTTGGTCTGGGCTGGCAAGGCCAAGAAGCAGCACTCATTTTTAGGACTGCTGTGACCATCTCCCGAGTCTGCTGGGCAGGAAAGGCTCCTTCCAAATGCTAGACAGAGGCCCGGACAGAGGCTGTTCTCGGCTCATCCCACATTGGCCTGAGAGCTGAAGCTCCTTCCCTCCAGGAGTTAACACCGAACCACAAAGTTTCTGGCTAATGTGTAAGCCTGATGTTTTACACAAGGTTTGTGAAAAGCCACGCAGGGCATTTAATGGGCAACATCAAAGTGCATAACCCAATCCTTACCCAGCCTTTCATGCTTTCCTTGGGAGCTTCAGAAACATCTTTTTGCAAGACATACTTGGCCTCAGTTATGGGAAGAAAGAGAAGGAGGAGGTGGAGGTTGTTACCCTACACATACTGTGTTTATGAAAACACTCCTCCACCAAAATGGCACTGGCGCTGCAGTATTGTCCTTGAGACATTCAGCAAATGGCTTGCGTACTATGTGTCTCCCCCCCACCCCCAGCAAAACCCACTCTTCTAACTGCTCGCCTCCAGCGAGCTCAGAAGCCAGGATTTCTAGTAGAGGCTCCGCAGCAAAACGGTTTCTTCCTTGACCACCATCCCTAAGCAAAAGCTTGGCAAGAATCGAGCTCCTGGTTTGAAACGCTGCAAGTGCAAACTGCTACGTGCAGCTCACAGGAAAAGTCACTGCTCGTTTTCATTTCGAACCAAAGCAAGCCAGTGAATGTTGGCTCTGAATTTCTGGGCCTTTCACATCCATTTAATCACTTCCTTTTCTCACTGTTTGCAACCTTCCTCTGCCGAACCCTCCCCCGGATGGCTCAATCCTTTTGTCCCATGCCACAGCATCCCAAAATGCAAGCTGCAGGCAAAGTATGAAAAGCAGGGCAGTGTAGTTCCAGCACAGCTGGAAGCCAAGAGAGTGGCGAAGTTTCTCCGCGTTTCTGGGGCTGGTCTAAAGCCTTACTCCAAGTTTAGGCAGCATCATCCGACTGGGACTCTCAAGTCCATTTATGGTGGTTTTGAAATCATCTTGACTTTACAGATGAGCATCCCGATGGGATAAAACAGTACGAGGAGCACTTGGGACCAGCTTTTTCACCGGGAAGTCAGACAGCACAGT